AAAAAAAAAAAAAAAAAAAAAAAAGAAGATGATTCAAGCCAGACAGTCTGGGTCTAAATCCCTACTTTGGCACTTACTAGCTATGTGAAATCAGCTGGCAAGTTACTTAACCTCTCTTGCCTCCAGTTCTTTATTTATAAAATTGGGATGTGAATATTAAACTCCTCATGGGATCATTTTGGGCTTAATTAGTTAACACTTTGAGTACTACTACGCCAGGCATTGTTCTAAGTTAACAATGCCTGGCATAGTAGTACTCAATGTTTACATCCTCATTATCAAGTTAGCATAGAATACTTATTTCTGTTCATTTAAAAAAATTATTTCTGTAAGCTTTTCCAGTTAATATTTATTGTGCTATGCTGATCTTCACTCACCTATCCAAGTGCCTTGATTAAATTCCTTCTTTTCTTATTTGGCTACAAGTAGTCCTTTTTATTTGCTGAATTCAATATTTGCTGAATTCAATATTTCAAGTGCTAGTTTGGCAATCGGCTAAGGTGAAATAATATATATCTGTTCATTATAACAATTAAAAAGTAAATATTTAGGAAAAGAAATGTATTAATATTTATAGTTTTAATTTTATGTATTTTAAAATAAGTTCAGAATAAGAAAAATTGTCTCCTCACTCTTCCATTCCACAATTAACTTGGATTAGAAATGCTAATTTTCCATTACTTCTCCCAAAAGTTAGTTATAGTTGTCTGGGGGGCTCAGTGATGGTGTAAAATACAAATACATCCAGACACCTGTGGGAATCACCAAATTCTTAAATATAGAAATGCTTATTCAGATTCCAGTACTGTCTTGAATCATAAATCTTTAGAAAGGCATTGCTGTGCACCCCACTACAAGGTAAATGCCTTTTCTTCATTCACTAAAGTATTATCTGTCATTTGAAGATTATCTTCCAGAAGGAAAACGAATTACTGCAGGACACATAAAGTACATATTGTGGACCATTTGGTGAATTGCCAAAACTATGACTATTAAATCCTGGTATATTCTTCAAATAAGTGTTATGTCTTTTGGATGTTGAGATATGTGAGTTGAATTTTATTGTTGCAACTTAAAACAGTAACAAACAAAATAATGATGCTATGAATTCCTTGAGCTTAAAATTTTTTTTTACCCGATCTGTGGAATCCTTGTGTTCCCTGGTGGAAGCAGTCTTTCTTTGAGAATAGAAAACCTCTAAACCAGCAGAGGCCAGTATTGCAGGGACAAGAAGCAAATATTTTGCTACAGGATCATTAAAGGTAATAGTGAGAAGAGCCACTACCTTTGGTTCCTAGACCTGTGTATTCTACCAATGGGAAAAATATGTAGCACAGTATATTAGTATATATTGAAACCTGTAAAACAGCACCTCAGGCCAACAAAGTATCACCCGGCAGGTGCCATAAATGGGTCTTCAGTAGGCCAATCCACACAGGCAAACTGTTTTGCAATGATGGGATACACAAACCAGTGAATTCCCTGGGCATTGTCCCATCGTCTCATTATTTCACCTGTAAAATGGGGTTTTTAGTCAGAAGTGAGGTACTGTAGCCATGTGAGGAACTGTAACAGGAATGAGGCATTCTGTAAATCTAGATGGGATTTTAGCAGAAGCACTGCAGGCCAGACATGCAAATCCACATGTAGAGTAAGAATCTATTCCAATAAGGACAAATCACTGCCTCTTTTATGATGGAAGGGGTACAGTGTTATCAAGTGGCTAGCTATTCCTTGGGTAATGGTGCCATATCAGGGACTCTGTATTGGTCTCTTCTGTGAGGTTCTCAGTAGTCAGATCAGCCTTGGTGAGAGAAAGCCTGTGTCATTGAGCCCATCGAGTAAGGACTGAGGAGACAGCAAAGAGAAGCTGAATGGCATTCACAGAGAAAATCATCTTGTCCACCCAGTAATTATTTAGAGCCTCATCTGTAGCAGGTGCCTTTTGGTGAGCATTTATATGGACACATTCTCTAATTATTTGGAGAGGTTCATCCACATACCACTTAGACCTTATTGTCAGCAATTTTCCTATCTTGTTTTTTCAGTGCCCTTGACCTTCCAGCCAAATGCTTAGCCATTGCCCATAATCAGTGTACATGCACACCTCTGGTTCTCTCTTCTTTCAAGTCCAGTGCTTAAAGTTCTTCACATCCCTTACTGTCTTTCAGGGACACCTGTGAATGGTGTCATCATATAATGTATAACCATCATAAAATGTATTTGGAATTTTTTTCTTTCTCAAACAGTTGGTCATAGGGAACTCCCCATCAAGTCACTGGTATGAGTCGAGGGAGAAGTGTCAACATGGTAGGAGAAGGTGTTTTTGTGCATCTGTTCTTTCAGGGACACCTGTGAATAGTGTCATCATATAATGTATAACCATCATAAAATGTATTTGGAA